CCGTCCGGCCCGCGTCCTGGCAGAGGGCGACGGCGCCCGTCTGGGGAGGGCTTCCTCGGTGCCGGGCCTCGCGACTGATGTCATTTGCCCTCGCAGCATCCCTGTGGCATAGATAGTCTTAGAACCGCATTTTGCAGATGGAAGGACTAAGTCTCCGAGAGGCTAAGGACCTGCCCAAAGTCACACCGCCAGCTCGTGGCAGAACCAGCCTTCAGACCCGGGTCTGACTGCCTGACTCCACGGCCCGCCCTCTTGTGCCACTTCTGCGGGCGCACGGTGAGGTTAAGGCCGTGGGTTTGTCGGGCCGCCCTCTATGGGGCGTTCGTTTTTCTCAGTGGTAAACTATATAAAACGCTTTTTACGCTAAAGTGAGTAGATACTCCCTGGGATGCAAGTTAACACTTACACCGATGAGATGACATTTGAGATGACGTAGAATTGCCACGCTTAAGGCTAATGCTCCAAGCTCGGTCCATGGATCCCTGCAGCGGCCGCTTCTCAGACCTCTGTAGGGCCGTGTCGGAGAAGGAAGCTCCGCTCCAGGACCAGCCTTTGTGTAGAGCCTTCCTGGAGGCCAAGGAAGGTGGTCTCTTTGTCCGCCACCCTCTGGGTTGCTTGAAAAGTTCATCCACTTTCTCTGGGCCAAGGTTTCCAAATTCCCAACAGATACTCATCTTCAGGAATTGGGAATGAAGAATTGGAATTCTTGAAATCATGATATTGTGTATTTTTCATAGCCTTTTGTATTTTGTTTTTGACAGATTAAAAATACGCATTTAGTAGTAGTCACAAAGAACCGTAGGCCATAGCACATATTCTGTAACTGGAAAATGCCTGCAAACATTATTGGGTACTATTTGAACAGCAAAATGTATAAATCTTCAAACAAGATTAACAGTGCTACACAGAGTCTCAAGTTGAAATTGCCAATTTAAGAACTTTTTTTTCTTTCTTTTTTTTTTTTTGAGTCACTCTGTCACCCAGGCTGGAGTATAGTGGCACAGTCACAGCTCACCACAGCCTTGATCTCCTAGGCTCAGATGATCCTTCCACCTCATCCTCTTGAGTAGCTGGGACTACAGGCATAAGCCACCATGCCCCAATAATTTTTTGATTTTTTTTTTTTTTTTTTGTAGAAATGAGGTCTCACTATGTTGCCTAGGCTGGTCTTGATCTCCCGGGCTCAAGCAATCCTCCAGTCTCAGCTTCTCAAAGTTCTGGGTTTACAGACGTGAGCCACCACTCCTGACTAGAACGTGTCTCTAAAAACCTGTTGTCTTTTGGGATATCATTCATAGGATTTGTATGAAACACACTATGCACGTAAACACATTAATATTTATTTTATTTTATTTGTGAGAATAGTTTACTCTTAACAGCAGGCAGGGCCACAAATACACTTTTTTTAAGAGACAGGATCTCACTCTGTCACCCATGCTGGAGTACAAGTGGCACAATCACAACTCACCGCAACCTCTAACTCTTAGGCTCAAGTGATCTTTGAGTCTCAACCTCTTAAGTAGCTAGGACTACAGATGCACACCACCACACCCAGCTACTTTTTAAACTTTTTTGTAGAGATGGGGATCTCGCTGTATTGCCCAGGCTGGTCTCAGCTCCTGGCTTCAGGTGGTCCTTCCACCTCCACCTCCCAAAGTGCTGGGATTGCAAGTGTGAGCCACCACACCCGACCACAAATACACTTGTATTTTTTATTTTATTTTTAGTTTTTTGAGCCGGAATCTCACTTTGTCACTCAGGCTAGAGTGCAGTGAAATGCTGCTGCAGCCTCGACCTGCCAGGCTCAGGCGATCCTTCCGCTTCAGCCTTCCAGGTAGCCAGAATTACAGGTACACCACCTTTGATTTATTCTGGAGATGATGTCTCACTGAGTTGCCCAGGCTAGTCTCGAACTCCTGGGCTCAGGCAGTCCTCTCATCTCCACCTCTCAGAATACTGGGATTACAGGCGTGAGCCACCGCTCCTGACCACAAATACACTTTTAATGTGTGAACAGCTACAAAAAAGACTGATTGTGACCACCCCTCCCCTAGGTGCTCCTGTCCCAAGTTCTGGAAATGTCTACTTTAACTTTAGACTCTATGTGTGAGTGTTTCTTTCTCATACATTCAACTTGACATCAGTGAGTTCCTTCAAACCAGGAATGCCTCTCTGTTGATTGTTAAGCATTGATTCTGCCAGGAGAATTATACTTTTCCCTACTTTTCCAATTTCTTGACTGTTTTTGGAATTCAGAAAAACATATTTTCTGATAAATGCCAGGAAGGATTTCTTGCATGGAAACACTACTCTGGGCTAAACAAGATTATCAAGGCAAGTCTGCTGCAGAAATATTGTCTAGTACATCAGCAAGCCCAGTTGACGCTTCATGGTTTCAGGGGCCTCAGAACCAGAGGATCCAAGTATGGGCCCTAGTTCTGCCAGTTCTTGGTTGTGAGACCTTGGGCAAGTCACTTTACCTCTCTGAACTTCAATTTAATGGGAAGAATAATGTCTGGGGAATAATATGCTTGCTTTGTGAGGCAATATTGTAGAAGGGTTAAGGGTGTGACTTTGGAGTCAGTCTGAGGCTCGAATTCTGACTCCATGACTTACTACCTCTTTGATGTGGGGCAAGTTCTAACCACTCAATTTTTCTCTTCTGTAAAATGGGGACACTGTTTGAATCTATTTCATAGGGTTTTGGTGAGTTTAGATCACATAGGAAAATGCTTAACAGGGCATTGTACATTGTGAATGCTTGACAAATGTGGTCTTGTGTAGTTATTATCTGCTGTATCTACCTCACAGGGCAGTTGTGAGGATGAAAGGGAGGTTCTAATGGGGAAGTGCTTTCTAAGCTGTGAAGTGGTAGCCAAGAACTTCTCTTCCCTTCAGTGATGGGATGGTCAGAAGCTATGGGCAGACGCTAGTGGAATTCCAAGTCAAGGGCCTGAGACTACCCATATCCACAGAAGGGAGTTGCATTGAGAGGGCGATGTCACTGTGGGTAGCTGGAAAACAGGGTGCAGAATGCTCTTAGGTGGCAGTTAATTGCCATCAAGTGGGCAAACTCTGGCATGGTATGACTCAGGACACAGCTGGGGGTGGGGAGAAAGCTGATTTTCAGAAGAAGGCCCTGGAAGAAGGATCGTGTTCAATGGAAACTGCCCACTATATGGTTGTTTTATTTTGTTCTGTTTTTGTAAACAGGGATCTAATCAGAGAAAGGGGCATGCAACAGAAGGTGGGGAGAGGGCTGTTTATCTCTTGTCTGAAACCGTTATTGGTGAAAAGTTGAGTGTAGGAAACATTCTCATTGGCTGGAACCAGTGTATCCTCTCCTGCTCTGTGTGCACCCATGATGCCTTTCGCTGGCTAGATTGTAGAACAGTCTTGGTTCAGAAGGTCTTCCAAAGATGATCTCGTGTAATCTCAACAGCAGCTCCATCAAATGTTGCCTAGCACTATACTCATTTTGCAGGTGAGGGCTTGGAGTCTGGGAAAATCCATTGCCCAAGGTAACACGGCTTATATATTGCGGAGTCAGGATTCAGAGTCTAAGCCCTTAGCCTCCACCAGCCTGCTCAACCCAGGTTCCAGATTGCTGATTTTGAACAAGGAAGAAGAAAATTCAAATGTATGAGGTTTTAGTGCCTAAATGTCCTCCTCTCTTCTTTGGTAACAGTTTTCTCTTTCTTCTGATACTGCTTTTACTTCTCTGGACTGTTTCTTTGCTTCCAGGGCTGTTTTTCTCTTAGCCCTAAGATCAGGATCCTTGGGCCCCATCCCTGGACTCTTTTCTCTTTTTTTGTACAGGTCTGTGAAGCGTCTCCTTTCTGCTAACAGCTTCAACTTCTGGCCATCTCTCATTCTAATCCAGACTGCCCCTCTGAGCACCAGCCTGAGCAGCCAGCGGTTTCCTTGATATCCTCTCTCTGAGGTTCCAGGTTCCCAACTGCATTCACCACCTGCCCTTAGACATGCCTCTCATTCCTGCCTCCTCCTTACCATGACCTCCTACCATGGCCTCAGTCTTAAATTCTGGCAGAGTGGTGAGGAATCCAGAAAGCCTTCGAAGACAAAGCCTCTTGAATAAGCTCTCAGAACCAGAGATGGACGATAGTGTGTTCTCTGAAAGCTGCCAACAGTTTGAAGGGTAAACTTGGAGTGTGGGATCCATCATTTAATCAGTCAGCTGTCCACTGAGTGCCCAGCAGTGTGGCATGGCCAGTAGCTGGGACGGAGGACACATTCATTATGCAATCCCCCCAGACTACAAACTCACATAAACTGAAAAGAATCATAAAGAAAAAGTTTTTGGTGCTACAGAAGAATACCAGATCTAAATTGGGTTGGGGAGAATCAACAAAGGCCATTTCGAGAAAGTGATAATTACAGTATCCCCAAGACCTGAGGTGGGGGAAGAAGGTTCCATATAAAGGCAAAAGTGGGCACTGAAGGCCCAGGGGTAGGAAAGAGCTTGGTATGTTGGGAAAATGGAAAGGCAATCTGTGTGGTTGAAGCTGAGGATGCTGGGGAATGTGCCAAGATAAGACTGGATGCTCTGGGCAGGGATAGTGGCAGGGCCTTGCGGGCCACGGTAAGGAGTCTGGATTTTTTACTTTAACTTTTTATCTGGAAATAAGTTTAAAGTTTCAGAAAAACGGCA